GGTAATTTCCACACTCTGTTGAGTCAACTTTCTTTGGAATGGGAACAAATATCCATCTTTATCAGTCAGTGAGCCAGCTGGCTGTTCTCCAGATTTCTTGGCACAAATTAGTGAGCACATACAGGCCAGTGTCTGTTGAAATATGTCAATTGGTACACCGTCAACTCCTGGAGCCTTGTTTTTTGCCAATTTCTTCAAAGCAATTTGAACTTCCTCCTTCATCACCATAGGCTCTTGCTCATATGTCATTTCATGAAATTCTTCTGTGTCAGCCAATTCCTGTACAAAAAACTGATACAGTGACTCTGTGTATTCCTTCCATCTTCTCTTGATACTTCCTAGATCATTTAGCATTCTACCCAAGGTATCCTTAAGAAATCCAAATTTTCTGTAAACTTTCATTAAAATATCAATAAAAAATGTGCAACAATGAATGAATGGAAATCCAAGTTTTCTGTAAACTTTTGTTAAAATATCAATAAGAAATGTGCAACAATGAATAAATGGAATTATTTTTTACTAATAGTTTCTGTCACATTTGTGTACATGAGTGAAATAAAGTGAGACTGGCAAACATTTGTGGAGCCCTGGAGAGGCACAATTTGACAAATGCTATATAAGTCCTTGGAGTCCATTTACATTCAGTCTCATAAATAAATACCAAACCTGTTTTAAATATGCACCCACACAGTGTTAATTTTGGGAATGGAATATCTTCTCATCCCAAATAGAACACAGGCTGACTGAGGGCAGGAGTGGCTATTTTACTTTCTTCTTCTTTCCACTGTGCAACCTGCTCGAGTCCCTGCAGCCTATGAGTAAGGAGGCCATGCGATGGTTCAGGGTTACGGTTCGCTCCGGCATGGACTACTATGAGAGAGTCACAGGGGTTTTCACTCTTTATGACCTTCCCAGAAACACCCCGGTGGCGTGGACAGCTAATGTACTCAGCAGCTAACCGAAAGTTTCACTTTTACGTTTACCCAGAGGTACCTTGGAAGAAAGATTAAGTGATCTACTTTTGAAAAAAAAACCCAGCCATTCTACTCTGACATCATGAATGGAGCTGATCTGAAGGCAAGAAGTACCATATGGTGCGGAGAGTCAATTCTCCACAAACGCCATGGGATGATGAATGGGAACTAAGTCCCAGCATAACTGACTAGTCAGAAACCTGCAAAGGGCAAGACTTACGGTGCTTTGTGTAGAGTGTCAGCCTGATCCATATGGAAAGGACAAAGGGCAGGACAGCAGTCAGTGTCTACGCTACTGTAGACATGTTACCTTTAGAAATTCCAAAAGACATTCTGTGGTCAAGAGTCCCATTACAAGGTAGAAAAGTCTCTGAAAAAGAATTGCCAGTTCTAATTTTGGTATACTTTCTGAGCATGATGACTTTAAAAAGACCTAGCGGGATATTATCTAATAATTGCTTTTTCCATCCCACTAATTTTCACTTGAGGCATTTAGTGTTAATTAATTGCTCATAACCATTTAACTGTAAATTATTTTTTAGAAGGCAATTAGTCCAAGGTTGAAATAGCTCCCTGGTTTTCATTAAGTTAATTAGTTGACAGCAAAATAGCTCTCACACTTTAGGTGAAGAGGCTTGTTTTTATGTTAAAAAAATGAACCAAAAACCCCCACCTGACACAAAACAAAATTAAAAAAACAACAACGTGAAAAAGGGCATAAAAATGTTAAATCACAAAATCTGGGTTTTTTTTTAAAGTTTATTCTTTTTAAAAATATTTTTTAACAATAATTTTAATGAGCATTTACAGAGATTTTGGATTTCCATTCATTCATTGCTGCACTTCTCTCCCCGCCCAGCACTCCCCCCCCCCACCCCCAAGTTCGCTCCTCTCTTTCAAAAGTAAAAGAAATACTCCTTCCCTGGTACACAATCCCCCCTGCACCCCTCCCACCGCCCCAAGTACATTCCACTATGCAACCTTAATTGTGAACTCTTGTGATAATCATAATACCGTATCATACATCGCTTTATTTATTTATTTTTTACTTTTTATTGTATTATTTTTACGTGTACCGTCAAATCAGATCTGACTGGTACAGGAGGAGATTGCCCCCTCCTTCTCCAGCAGAGCATCTGGTGGATCATACATCGCTTTTAAATTATTCACTCCCTCATCTGTTCCAGTGCAGTATACACAATTTATCCAGTTTTTCTCAGTCTTATGCCAACCCTGATATCAATCCCATTTTTCAACAGTGGCACCATGCAATATTTGTCCTTTTGCGACTGAGATATTTCACTCAGCATAATGTCCTCCAGGCTCACCCATTTTGAATACTATTGCATGAGTTCTGTGTTTTTCAATGCAGCGTACTATTCCATTGTGTGAATATACCACAACTTCTCTATCCATTGGTTTGTTGATGGGACAAAATCTGTTTTAAATTTTCAAAATCTGCCTACAATTAAAAAATAATCTCTGTGATATACGCAGGAGCTCTAGTGTGTTTTAGTCAAGGTACTAGGCTCCTAATCACAAGGTCAGTGGTTCAAATAAACCAGCTACTCTTCAAGAGAAAGATATGGTAATCTCCTTTTGTAAAGATTTACAGCATTGGAAATTTGATGAGGCAGTTCTACGCTGTCCTTAAAGATCATTATAAGTCAGAATTAACAACAGACAGTTTTGTGGAGTGGTTTTTTTACTATCCAAAGGACTTTATTGGAGATCTGGGAGGAACAGAGAGAATTCTCTAAAAACCAATGGTTTTGGGTTTTTATGTAACATGCACGCTTTTATTTCAGAAAATCCCAAGGAACTTCCTGGTTAACTGTATCAACTAGCTTTCTGTTTTTACTGTTGCCAGATAGACTTTTCCTTTCTTGTTATGTGCTACAGTACTTGTTTTAGCTTGATAAAATCATGTGCTAACTTGTCTCTTTAGTTTTCAAGTTTCTTGAGGACAAGTAGCATTTCCAATGGGTAAATACTGCATGTGATCTGATACACAGTAACTCCTTACTGGGGCCTCTACAAGGTGCAAAATGATCAGCTAATATGGAATCAGTTAATATCAGTTAATTGAAAGGCAGGAATTCAAGTTCATTGAAAAGTACCCTGCAAGAAATACCTGGTGATTTATGTATAAAACAATCTGCCATTGCAACCCTACAAGCTTTCAAGACTACAGCCCTTAATCTCCAGGTCTGGAATAGAAATCATCCCCATGACTCAACTGTCAGCCAAACAACAGGACAGGCCTATGAGGTAATCAATAAAGCCAGAGAGGAGAGCATTCCTCAGAACAAGCAAAAACACATGATCAAAAGGACAGCACATGCCCAACAGTAAAGCACAGAAGACAGAAAGGGACAGGAAAGAAGGACAAATGGAAAGGAGAAGCACAGGGAGGGCCTGGGGAGAGTGCTGATACACTGTGGGGTCTGTAATCAATGCCAGAGGATACATTTGATGAGTACCAAGTGCTGAATGGAAAACACTTTGCTCAGCAAACTTTGAAATGAAAAAGCAAGCAAGCCAGCTGTAGAGCACACTTCTGACACACATGGGAGTTGACCTGATAACAACTGGTGCTGGCAGGTCCTTGATAGGAACCCATACACTGGGTGGTGTGCTCTGCCACAGGGATGTAAGGATGGGAGTTGGTCCCTGACTTCACGTAGCTCCTATTGTGATGCTTAAATCACTGTAAGCATATTTCATGTAACCCACAAAATTTCTAGTTAACACCCTCCATTTACAACACTAAGAATTACTAGCTATTTTTGATACCTATAATTGGCACATCTACCCCAAAACAACACATAAAAAGTAATATTAGGGAGAATGCCAAACATTTCCCCAAAGAGGGCATAATCCAGAGCTGCTGGTCTCCCAAGACCCGTTACCTCGTCGCCCTTAATCTGCTGCGGCTTCTTGACCACTTCCTTCACCAGGTGCAACACCGTGTCGGTCTTGAGAGTGCTGAGGGCACAGACCAAGTCGACAAGGGTGAGCTGGGACGCACTGGCCGCAGGAACAATCTGCCAAGAGGGATTTTTAAAAAAGAAATATTTTCAATTTGCAAGCAGATGTACTTTATATTGAAGGCTGTACTCTTCTGCTTCAAGTACTTCAAGTCCTTTTTGGTTTCAGCAAGCAAGGTTGTGCCATCTGCATAATACAGGGTGCTGCAGAGTCTTCCTCCAATCCTAACGCTGCATTCTTCGTATAGTCCAGTTTCTCAAATTATTTGCTCATCATACAGATTGCACAGGTATGGAGAAAAGAAACAACCCTGATGCTCACTTTTCCTGATTTTAAGCCACACAGTGTTTCCTTGTTCTGTTTAGATAACACTTTCTTTGTCTGTGTATAGGTTTCACAAGAGCACAATTAAGTGTTCTGAAATTTCCACTCTTTTTAATGCTAACCATAATTTGTTAAAACCCAGTCAAATGTCTTTGCACAGTTAAAAAAACACAAGTAAACATCTCTGCTTTCAGCTGAGATCCATGTGATATCAGCAATGATATCCCTCACTGCTGGGCCTCTTCTAAATCCAGCTTGAATTTTTAGCAATTCCCTGTCAATGTACTGTTTCAGTAGTTTTAAATAATCTTCAGCAAGATTTTACTTGCAAGTGGTACTAATGATATTGTTTGATAACATCCACACTCTTTAGGATAACCTTTTTTTTGGAATAGGAAGAAATATGGATTTCTTCCAGTAAGTTGGTCAGGGAACTGTCTTCCAAATTTCCTGACATAGACTAGTGAGTATATCCAGGGCTGCATCTGTTTGTTGAAATATGCCAACTGCCATCTATCAATTCCATCAATTTTTAATTTAAAGATTAAACAGAAGCCTTATATAGACTTCGTAGAAAAATCAGAAAACAGTAGTCAGAGGTGGGTCCTGTTCCCTCACTGATACACTGTTATCATCTCATGTATGTAAAGTGTGGACCCACTTCAACAATTTCCCATGTGAGCCTCTCACTTCACCTTCAACTACATGTGACTTCTCTTGTTACCTTTATTTTACTGTGATGTTTAGCTTTCTTCTTGCTCCACACTGCTGCAACAGCTGCAATTAGCTGAACTCCAAGATGAGTTGCCAAGGGATTCAAGAAATCTAAAATTTTTTGTCTTATGGTCTAGAAAATGGAAAAAGCAAAAGAAAAGATGTTTACTACCTCGTAATACCAGGACTATCACAGAATAACATGTTTAACCACCACCCCGGGCCTCTGAACGGCCCAAATGGTTTGCATTCTGTAATACACCCTGTGCATATAGGAGAACGCCATAGAGTCTCCAAGGCTGTGTCCCTTCAGAACTAGAGCAGCAGGTCTGTCTTCTGCAGCACTGCTAGGTGGATCTGAGCCATCAATCTTTTAGCTACTAATCAAAAACACTAGTTGCCACAAGAATTGACTTAAGGCAACTAACAAATAATACCTAACCTGGAAACAACAAGGAAGAACTAACTCATCACTTAGATTAATAAACCAGATCAGATTAAAATGGGGTGGTGGTGTGGAGTTGCACTGCCAACCCAAAGGCACATAGTTCAAACCTATCAGCTGCCCTTTGGGAGAAATATAAGCTATGTCTACCATGTCTATAAAAACCTGCTGGAGCATCATCTATGAGTCAGTTCTGACCAAATGGCACACAACAACAATAAGGGAAAAGGCTCAGGAAGAGGTAGGATCAAAGGAATAATGGAACTAAGAATCCCAGAGAAGAAGTGGGAAGTGGCTACAGTGTAGGTACTGTAATGAATGTTATAAAACGGAATATGCATGAATGGTTGACTAGGAATCGATTTGCCTTGTATACTTTCACTCAAATCACAAGTAAAATAAAGAAAAGCTGCGGAAGAGAAGGCTGGTAAATCTGTTTCCATAAAGATCACAGCTGAAGAAGCCCAATAAAGCACAGACATGCTATGTAATACATGTGGTTGCCATGAGTCTGAGCAGATTCAATAATAAGTTGGTTTGTTTTTCAATCATAATCCCAAGTGCAGGAACCACATTGTCTTCTTGTTCCAGGGAGTGTGAGCGGATCCTCAGGCAGGGAGGAACATGTGCTGTACCTTGAAGGAGGTGGACATGTGAATACCTGAGGGAAGGGACACACAGGGTCAGCATGCAGTGGCTGGGCCACAGCTGGAGGAGAGTTCTAGGATAGCAAGCTGGCCCTTGGGCAGTGGTGAGCAGGCAGGGGCTTGAAGGAGGCCAGACAAGGCTGGGCCAAGGCACGGGATGGGGTGCGTGGGGGGGGAGGCGGCCAAGCGGCTGAGTCAGCCTCATTCCCACCCTCACGTCCCACAGCTCAAGTGTGTCCGGATCAGCCAGGGAAGGGCTTATGTTCCTTAGCAAGCCAGTTTTTATCTCCAGAAAATAACAAACCAAAACACTGATTTCATTCTTTAATTTGTTGAATATTAACTGACAATTAATGGCTCTTTGTGCCAGGTGCAAAATCCTTTCGAGAATAATAAAATGAATATTTGTGCCAGGTTCTAACCTTGGCAGAACAACAGGGGGTTTTCAAAGTGCTCGAGTCATAGGGACTTTTTTAAAAATCAAGCTGACATTGAAGGATGTTTCTGACTCGCCATATCAGACACAGCCAATTCCTGCCAGGCAAGTATGACTATGAAGCAGGTGACAGAGTTCTCTCCTTTTCTTCCACCAAGGAGCTATGATGATCACACAATGATTAAATGCTCAGCTCCTAGTGGAAAAGTTGTCACATTGAACTCACCCAGCAGAGAAAGAGGTGGAGATCTACTCCTACAAAAATTACTGCTAAGAGAACCCCATGGGTCAGTCCTATTCAGTTATGGGGTTACCCATGAGTTAAATCAAAGGTACACAACACCTTCACCATCGTCTTCAATGCTTACTTGTTCCTGAAACCTGAAACCCACCAGGATCCTTCTTGTACAAGTTCTGTGGGTCTCCCAGCCAGAAACATCCTAATTATACCCTCCCAACCTGGTAGCTAACCTCTGGAGCCTCACTTAGCTCCCAGACCTGTGTCAGAGTGCCCGGCACTGCTTTGCGGCACTTACTGGTATTATCAGTTGCTGGTTAATAGTTAGGGAGCTCTGGTGTCATGGTGCACTGTTGCATGGCTAACACAACGGCTTTGCTTCTCCGGTGATTCAAATCCACCAGATGCGACAAGGAAAAAAGATGGATTATCCTCCTCCATGGGCTTATAACCTCGGAAACCCAATGGAGGGTCAGCTATGAATTAGTTTTGACTTGATGACAATGAGTACGTAAGGTTACTGTTTGCCTCTCTCATAAGGACAGTGGCTTCACTAAACTTATCAACCAGTAACAGACCAAATTTCACACAGATCACCAAAAGACAAGAGGTGCCCAGAGATAAAAGTCATCTGCAGCAAGCAAGAGTCCACCACAGACCAGATACTGTGATATCACTATGACAGACAAGAGGTCTCTGGCAGCAAACAGGAGCCTACCACACATGGCCTAGCACGCAGTGTGGAACAGACGTTTGTCAAATGAATGAATCTGCTGAGTGCTTTTTATATTGTTGGCTACCAGTGTGTGGTGGCAAGTTAGATACTGTGAAGACTGGTGCCAAGGTGTGTTCTCTCCATTGCACCATTGTGGCTGCTACTGAGAGACCAATGAGGTCTCAGCCCAGGGCCGTAGGTCCCTCGGAGACAGATTAGAGCTAAGTGTTCAAGAACGTCAGCCACTAAGGAATCCTGGTGGTCTAGTGGCAAGAAGCTGCACTGCAATCCCAGAGATACGCAGTTCGAATCCATCAGATAGATGCTCTGCTGGAGAAGGAGGGGCAATCTCCTCCTGTACCAGTCAGATCCGATTTGACGGTGTACACACACACAGTCTCTCTCATCCCCATTAGCAACTGTCTTACGTAACTTCCCATCATCCCATAAGGTCAGATATTAATCACAGCCCCATTTTATAAAGGAGAAAATTAAAGTTCAGGAAGTTTGGGTGCCTGAGGGTTCTGAACTTTCTCAGATCAGAATCAAGTGCAAAGTTGGTTCCTGTATCAGCTTGAAATGCAGCTGATTTCCCTCCCAGGCTGTCCTTCAACATCCACAACATTCAGAGGCCTATAAACAAGCAGCCCTGGGTTCCAGACCACCCAGGTCTAATCCTGGGTCTCAAACTATTAGATGTGTGGAAAACAAGGGCAAAGCACTTCTTTTCTCTGTACCTCAATTTCCTCGTCTATAATTTGGGAATTTTCTGTAATTCAGCTCTATTGTTCATAGGGTTGGTTGCTATGAGTTATCCTTGACTTGCTGGCACCTAACAACAACACTGTGGAAACAGTGATTGTACCTGCCTCCCAGGGTTAGCCCAAGGAGTAAACAGCCCCATAGACACAGGACACTCAGCATGATGCCTTGTATGGATCATGCTTCCACAGGAAGGTACAGGTTAACATCGGAAACTGGTCCCATCTCACTGGGCTGTCAGACACTGGGTGAGCCCTGCAGCCCACCCATGACACTTGGCACTGCCTGCGTCTGTGTCTGAACACGGGGACACAGCCAGACGCTCCAGAGCCTCCTGAGGCTGAGACAGTTCAAAGTAAGGGACACTAAACCACGTACACCCTGGGTTATAGGTTTTAGTTTTAATGAAACACCTCAAAGGAACCTCAGTAGCTCTCCCTAACGTGCCCATATGCCAAAGGCACAACTGAAATCAGAACACCAAGATTCGCTGTGCTTATCAAAGGGGCTTTGAAGACAAAACTTGGTAGCCCACTGCCAAACCACAAAAATCTGTTTTTCAGTTAACAGTAAGAAACACAAAATAAAGATAAATAAATCACAAAAATATATGTTGTTGATCGCCTTCGAGTAGAGCACAACTCATGACGACCCTATGAACAAAAGAGCTGAAGCTCCTCTACAACAATTGACATTTATCAAAGTTCATAGAGTTTCTGGAGGCATGTTGTTTAGGAAGTGGATGCCACTCCTGCTTCCAAACAAATATATATAAGCAAATATTATTTATGTTGTTATCTGCCATCGAGTTGCTTGTGACTCATAGTGACCCTATGTACAAGAGCTCTAAATGCTGTTCTATCCTGTGCCAACCTTGCCATCTCAAACGCACTCATTCCCACCACTCCTGTCACAGAATCGATCCATCTCATCGAACGTCTTCCTCTCCACTCTGCAAAACATGATGTCCCTCTCCAAGAAGCAGTCCCTCCTTGCAACATGCCCAAAGTATGTCAGACAAAGCTTCAGAATCCTTTACTCCAAGGAGTATTCCGGCTTCACCTTCTCCAGGACAAACCTGTTTTTTCTCCTAGCAGTCCATGGTATATTCAACACTCTTGTCCAGCACCACAGCTCAAAGGCATCAATTCTCTTTCTATCATCCTATTCACTGTCCAACTCTCTGATGCATAGCACATAATTGCAAAGACTATAGCCTGGATCAGGCGCACCTTAAGTCTCCAGCCTGACGTCATTGCTCTTCAGTACTCTGGAGAGGTCCCTCACAGCTGACTTTCCTAATGCAATTCATCTCTTAATTTCCCGGCTGCTGTTACCAAGAGTGTAGACTGTGGAGCCAAGTAAACTAAAACTGCTAACTATCTCAATCTCTTCACCGTCCATAAAAGCAAATATTTATATACCTATATATATCTATATCTCTATATCTATCTATATCTATCTCTCTCTCTCTAGATAGTTATGTGCCATTGAGCCACCTACAACCCACACTGACCCTAAATATAGCAGCTCTGAAGCCTGCCCTATCCTGTGCCAGTCTCACTGACTCCAACACACCTACCACCATTGCCAGACTGTCTCAATCCATCTCATCCGAGGTGTTCCTCTCCTGTGTTGTCCCTCCAGCCTTCCGAGCACACATCCTCTTCCAAGGACTGGTCCCTCCTGACTACATGCCCAAAGTATGCATATAAAGAAAATAAGGGAGCTCTGGTGGTCTAGTGGCAAGAAGCTGCATTGCAATCCCAGAGGCTTATGGTTCAAATCCACCAGATGCTCAGCTGAAGAGGGAGGGGCAATCTCCTCTTGTACCAGTCAGATGCGATTTGACGGTACACACAAAAATATAATAAAATTAAAAGAAAATGAAAAAAAAAAGAAAGAAAAGAAAGCAAGGGGCAGAAATTGAAATAATAAACTACCACCACTCTTGCAGTTCAAATCCACCAGCAGGACAATCTCTTCTTATGTGATTTACAGCCTCTGAAAACCCACTGGAGGGTCAGCTATGCGTCTGTTCCAACTCAATGGCAATGGGAGATCCTCATGTATGTTTCTTTTTGGTGAAGTAATACAAAACAAAGGAAATGATAAAACCACAGAGGGCGGTCTCTTACTTTAGTTGTTTTAAAGTAAACTGAAGAAGACCCTTTTGTGGCCCCGAGGAGATCAACGGGTCTCTTCTGAGACTCTTCTTTGCGGAGCACATTCCAGAGCAGTGCCATGGTGTTCACGATTCGAGGCAGCTCTTCCAGAATGGCGTTCTTGGCATTTCTCAAGATGGTGGGATCACTTCCTGCAGAGGTCTAGAAAATAAAAGGGGCCCACGACATGCACCTGACAGCTTTCTGACCCATGTGGATGGGGGTGCTGACAGGATCAAGTCTGGGAAGTTGAATTCTCTGAAGCCTGTGAAATGTATAGGGGTCTAGAAGCACATAGGCTTCCCTGGGCATTTAAGTCCACAGTTTTCTTTCAAAGAGAGACACTGTTGAGGAACAGGCTTCAAATGATAACATTTTTCCTGTTATGCAAACACAGAATGAGCTGTATTCTGAAATTTAATTCCCCACAGCGTACAGCAACCAATAGTAAAATTTTCTTCCAGTCCAGACTGCTGTTAATACCATGAGACAAAGAAAAAGTATGTGGGAAAGAGATGAATACTAGCCTAAAACCAAACAAGGGGTTCTTCATTTTATTAGCTTGTTACTAGTGAAGCCATGGGCAAGGGCCAAAGTAACCGAAGGGAATGCCAGCAAGAGACCCAGTTATCAGGACATGCCAGTGGCCCCAGTGAAAAAAGTCAGAACCCAGTGCACACTAGACTAGATAGTTGGGAACTAGGAACACGGGATTACCTTTTTGCCCTGGTTGGGTTGCTCCAAAAGGCAAAAGTGGCTAATGGTTGTTAGGCCTTCCAGAAGAGTAAGAGGATAGTCCGGAGAAATGTTTTCTCTCTTGGAAGTTATGCTTTGGTTAAAAAAAAAAAAAAGAGGGAGAGAGAAGAACTGGTTTTGAGTATTTTTAAGATTGAGGTTGCTATATATATATTTTTTGTCTTTTTACAAAAATTGAATTAGTATTCACATGATAGAATGAACCACTTTAAAGTGGTATTTAGTGGAGTCCCCAGGTTGTGTCAGCATCACCTCTAGGCAAGAAAGGCTTTTCATCCTATACATAAACATACAAATCAGAGAGAGGGCAGGATCTTAAAGAAACTGGGGGTCTTAAAAGGAAACATTAGAATAATGTCATGCATCTTTGTTATCTTTTTCAAAACATAAACATTTTAAAATTTCTGTTAAGGTGATTCACATTTTTATTTCTTTTTTGCTGAAATAAGATTGAGTACCCTGTCCTTCAACACTGAATTAGCATGAGGAGCTGTATGGAATTAAAAATGAAGGATCTCCAGAATTTTGTTCCTTGTTACCTTCCTTTACAATCCTGGACAGGTTTCTGTTAAGAGTGAAGTGACTCTCTAACTAGAATCTGTTTAACAGAAATTTTGTGATAGAAAACAAGGATGCACTAAAAGGGTCAGTGTGGACCTTGGGCAGCGTAGTTTGTGCTTGGCTGATAACTACAAGGTAAACAATCTAATCCCACCCAGTGGTATCACATAAATAAGGCCTGGCAATTTGTTTCCATCAACAGAGCAGCTAACAGAACCTTATGAAGTTTTACTCTGAACATAAGGAGTCCCCATGATTTGGTATCAGTGTGTCACTAATGAATAAAGACAACAAAGAGGATACCATACCTGACAGAGAGCTTCACAGATTCACTTTCATACTGTTTGACCAGCTCATCCAAGTTCTTGCAAATCTGTACTAGGAAGGGTGCCACAGTCCAGCCCAGGGACTTTCCAAAGTACGGCAGAGAATGTATGACCAAGCTGACCCAGGCGGGGTGCATGCCGTAGCCGTAGGTGGGCTGCAAGCCACGCACCACAGCTGAGACTAGCAGGCCCTGGGAGGTGAGGGGGTGCGGCTGCACGTACTGCAGGGCGCTGATGGCCTGCTGGAAGTTCAGGGCCCGCCGCCACTCTCGGGACAGCTCAGGCTGGTTCTCTGCCTCCTCTTGGGCCTGGCCCAGGTGGTGCTCCAGGACGATCAGCACCTGCAGGAGCTTGATCAGCTCAATCTGCAGCGGGTGCTCACTCCAGATCTGGTCTTGGCCCAAGTTGATGAGACTCTCCTCAAAGAGGCTGTCCTCCTGCAGTACCCGTCCTCGCTCAGAAGTGGCCAGGCCGTAACGTTTCTGACTTGTGTACATGGATGCAGACAGGGAGAGCAGGACGAATTCCTGCACCTTGCACCTCTGCAGCAAGCTGTGGATGAACTCCACGTTCTTCCCATCTGCAGACTTAGCCACTGAGACCAGCCGTGTCATCACTCGGATGAGAACCTCGACACTTTTGACCTGCACATCCCTGTTGCCAAGTATGTCCCGGTGGGAGACCTTCAGGTAGCAAGGGTAGTAGGCACGCAGGAAACTGAGGCACAGGTAGGTGAGGAGTTCAATCAGCAGGGAGTGTGGGAACATGTTGGGGGACTGGGTCTGCAGTTTCCCGTAGAAACTCTGGCCCACGAGGGCCTCCTGGTGACGTGCCAGGAGGTTGGAGATGAGGTTGAGGTGTGCGGTGGAGCTGGTGTCCATGCTGGTCTTGGACACGGCCTCAATGAACTCCTTGGGGTTGGTCTTGAGCACGGCCTCCAGCACGGAGAAGGCGTAGAGGACTCTCCGGGAATCGTAGGGCTGCAGATAGAGCAGGATGTGCTTGAACAAGGCCTCCAGGGTCTCCTGGCGCTCCCGCTGCTGCTTGAGCAGCCGGGACGTGGTAAGTGCCTGAAGCTCCAGGTCGGCCTCCTCATCGCTTGACAGCGACTCCGAGGCCTGGGTCTTGTCCGAGTCCACGCGCACCAGGCTCAACTTGGCATTGGACTTGAAATTTTCCAACTGGAAGGCAGCTAGCAGGGCAGGGCGCTTGGAGTAGGCCCGGCTGACTGGGACAGGCACACAGCAGTTCTCCTCGCTATTCAGCTCCTGGGGGTCATGGGATGGGGAAGAGAAGGAGGACGTGTTCTCGCTGTCCGTGTGCCCAGAGCAGGTGTCTGCGGACTCAGTGTGCTCGCTGCTCTCTGGAGCGCTGCACGCGGGCCCACCTGGCAGGTCCACATAGTAGGGGAGGTCCTCCTCGCTCAGCTCACTGTGGGGCTGGTACTTCTCTGGCTCCTTCTCCACTTCTGCCCAGATGGCTTCGCGGTCCACGGTAGTGAGCTGGCTCAGGAGCAGGCTTTCCTCGGCACCGTCCTCAGGAAGCTCGGGAACCCTGCACGCCTCCTTCAAGGAGCTTTTCTTCCTGCTGAACCAACGATGCAAGTCTTCTGAAAATTAAAGTGACCAAAGACTTTAGAACTGAAGGCTTAGTGGTGACAGATGAATTCTGGAGTGAACTTCTGTCTTAAAGACAGACAGAAATACAGATTTTTCAAAAGAAAATCTCTAGACAAAATGATATCACTATCCTAGAGATTACATGACAAATAGTAGAGAAGCACAGTGAACAGATCTTTTAAGCAGGAATTGAATAATTTAGTTACTACCCAAAGAAATATAACATGTAAACAATATGTATTATTTTGGCCTAAGGATTCTCTTGCAAGAAATTGATCCTCTTCGAATATCAGCAGAGGGTTTCAAAGTTCAAATAAGAGTAAGAGTAACCTTTGATATACAAAGTGGAAAGCAAACAGACATGCACAAAGCTAACTGGAAAAACTTATGGTTTTAGAAAGATGCATCTATACGAGCTGGGAAGGCGCATGCAAGCTATAGTATATATGTGCCAGCTATTGTATGTGTGTGTGTGTATACATATATATGTATGTACACACACACACACACACACACACACACACACATAAAAAAAAACAGATGAAAACAGAAGTTAGGCTTCAGAGCCAGAGGCATAGAATGAGCTCAGTTAAGTGGAGTGTACATAATATAGAAGCAGTGATAGCAAAGTGATAGACTTTGGTTCTTCATGTAGGAGACCGAGGTTTGAGTCTCAGACAGGGCACCTTGTGCACAACCATTCCTCTCCTGTCAGCAGAAGCCTGTGTGTTGCTGTGGTGCAGAACAGTTTTCAGAGGAGCTTCCACATTAAGGCAGACTAGGAAGAAAGGTCTGGAGATTTCCTTCCGAAATCCAACCAGTGAAAAGGCTATGACTCATAATAATCTGATCCACAAGTGACTATGGGATGACTCAGCAGCAGGCAGTACTTGTTCTGCTGTGCTGGGGCTGCCACGAACTGGAGACCAATGTAATAGTATCTGACATCTTTAATATGCAGCTTGGCTTAGTGGTGAAGAGTTGTGCTGCAAACCTAAATGTATATGATTTGAATCCACCCGCTGCTCCATGGGAGAAAAATGGGCAATCCCTTTCCTTATGATTTATGCCTCTGAAAAACTGCTGGAGGGTCAGCTATGACTTAACAGGACATAACAACATACACGCAGAACTAGTCTGGAAGAACATTTGCCAAATCGTTTCTAGTATTTAGCTCTATCAGTTAGTGTTACAAGGGATTTTTGCTTATCATTTTCTCTTCCTTATTGCAACTTACAAAATATTTCAACACGTTCAAATATTAAGGTCTCTTTAAAAAGAAGCTAAAGCCAGAAATCTTTTGTATTGCCCAACATTAACATGCAACTTTCAATAAATCTCTGAACATTAAAGGAGATAAGGAAGGAGGAAGAGAAACAGACCAGCTGTTTCGTGCACATGGATTTTTTTATAAACCAAAAAACCCAAACAACTTCTATAGGATTCCAGGGCAAGGGTAGAGGTAAGCAGCCCATTTCTAGCTTCTTTCAGGAAATGAAAGCTCAGAAAAAGGGGAAAAAAACCACCAAACAACCTTCTGACTAAAAGGTGACCCTCTGCTGGGAGTCAAGGCTGTAAACTGCACAGGAGGAGATTGCCCATCTTTCTCCCACAGAACTGCTGGTGGATTTGAACCACCAGAGAGGCAAAGCGTTTGAGTCACCAGAGTTCCTAGAAAAAAGTTCTTCCTTATTAGGACATCACCAGAATAAAGGAGTTCTCTTTTATTGGGATGTAGCAAACCATTCTTGAGGTCAACAGAAAAAAAAAAAATTAGAGGAAGGAGCAAGTGGTCCCGTGAGGAGTAGAATACCAGATCCTTCTCCCTAGACTGTTAGTCTACAAGAGTCTCTGAAATCTGCTCAGTATCACAGCAACACACAAGCCCCAACTACAGAGGGGTAGTGGCTGTGCCTGTGTGACACTGGCTTGACATCAGATCCAGGTCTCTCACATGGAAGCGGAGAATGTGACCACTGACCACCAACACCTCTCAGAATATGACTACTATGAACAACGAGAATTGGCGGTACTCTCACACCATTTGAATCTAGCAGAACCGTGAAGTGGATGTCAGTCCCCTAGCTGTGGTCCAGTGGGCAGCTGAGGGCCACCTGGCTCACCATTCTCCTCCTCCCTGTACCAGGGGCCCCGGAGGCCCTGCCCTGGTGCTCACCTGTTGAGTTCTCCTGCTTGAGGCAGTGGATGGAGGTCCTCTGGGTCTTCGGCTGGAGTAGGAGCAGGAGCACAGGCTCCAGGATGCGTGCCACGTCCCCAAGGGAGAGAGCCCGCACCAGCCAGCCCTGTGCTGCTGCCCCGATGGCACCGTCTGAGCACGCCAGGCTGTCCAGCACGACAAACAAGGACCTGTGGGTGAGAATGATACAGCCACGTCACCTCATCAGCCCAAATACTCTGCTGCCCCTGTGCTGGGCACGGGGCAGACAGCAGACATGTGGGGTCAAATGACAGTCCATAGGGAACTCTTCCAGGGAAGCAATGACCTTCGTTTGACACTGAATCACCAGGGAGTTCTTAAGATCCTGAGGCCCAGGCCTCACCCTATACCAGCTAAATCCTACATGGGGAGAGGGATGAAATCCATGCGTAAGAAGTAGTCGGGTATAACTTTAATACTGCATGCGTGTGGTTTTAGAGATTGGACAGGGTACTTTAACAAACTGGAGATGAATACCTTGGCAAAGAAATCAACATATTGTAACTGGTGAGTGAAAAAGTCTCTTAAGCATGACACCACGGAGTCAAAGTTTTTCCAGTGCATCCAAGTTCCCTTGGGGGTGGGATAAGATCTGTATTCTAACACAGGCCTGGCCTCCTCCCTCCCATACCAAATATAAAAAAATCTCTAATGTGTGGTCACACTTTTCAGAAGGCTTAAAGTCACATAGAGGGTCAGAGTGTGCACCGAGAAAGCAAGTCATGTCTTCAACTACACACTTTTTCCCCATCTCCTCACCCACCACACTGGTCCTGAAACCCTGCAAAGCCTTCTCCACTCGGAGGATAAGTGATAGTGAGGAGCCCCTCACCTGTCGAAGGAGCGGTTGTGAGAGGTGACCCGGCTGCCCTGGATCTCTCTCGTCAGGTGCCATAACACAGAAAAGCGGTAGAGCGCTTCCAACCGCGTGCCCTTGACCCAGAAAGAAACGGCAGTGAGGACCACGAGTTAATAACTGCACAATGCCTTTAAGTCATAATGAACCACATTCAAATAGCAAACAGAGGGTCTCGAGAGAAGCCATAGTGAAGGTGCTGGATTTTTATTTGTGCACATGTTGAGATTGACTCAATGGCAGCTGGTCTGGTTTCTGGTTTTGGGGGGGGGGTCCTAACTAACCAGGCCCTACTATTGTGTGTGCAATCAGGTCAGAACAGACCCAGAGCTGATCCTCCAGTGGGTTTCTGGAGGCAGTTATCGCGTGGGAGGAGGTTGCCAAGTCTCACATGGCGCAGCTGGTGGATTTAAACCATGTGCCTTTGAGATTGAGGGCAGCTTCTTACCACCAGACCACCAGAGCTCCTGGAGGAAGAGGAAAAGCTGCGGCCTCTCTCTGTGCTCAGGTTAATGAGATGTGCTCTGGGGAAGGTGCACACTAGACTTAGAGATGCTAGTATTCAGGCCACCCTGCGTCCTTTGGTCTAAGACACAAAGAACTCAGCATTTTCTGTCCTTGGACAGGCCAGTTTCTGAATCTTCAAGAGCAGGACAAACATTTAACTGCAGAAGAGAAACATGCTTAAAAACAATGATTCTCTAAACTAGTGACCATGGTGTCAAGTCTGCCTGACTCATGTCAGAACTCTGCTCACAGGTTTTCAGCGGCTGCTCTTTTAGAGGCAGACGGCCAAGCCTTCTGAGGGCTCTCTGGGCAGACCTGGGCCTCCACCCTTTTGGTTAAGAGTCAAGTATGCCAATCATAAGTTATTAGGCCAATGGCTCCACAAGCCTTTCAGGACGATGACCAAAATTAGTCCTGGGCACAGAACTACTGACCAGTCCAGATGGGAAGAGGCATAATACTGACTGTCACCACTCACCTTGTCAGGGTCCAGGAGGGCATGGCAGATGATGTCTTCACAGACATTGGCCGTCGGAGCCAGGCAGTGCAGGCGGTAGAAAAGCTCCACACATGTGACATGGTGCTCCCGGGTCTCCTTATTCAGTTGATCCCAAAGCACACGGGCCACTCTCTGGAGTAAGAGAAGGCAGAAGGGGAGCCGGTGAATCCAGGCAACAATTGCCACATCCCTCCTCAGTCCAGTACCAGCCTCCAATGGGCAGCTATCCCCTGTCCTTGATCTGTGGGGGTGAGGGGGTTAAGTACAAGCAATACCAACACCAAGTCAAACCCAAGTTCCCCCCAGGACTGTTCCCAACAAGCAATATTATCTTTACAAAGCTTATAATGTCAAAATACAAGTCAAACACACACATTAATTTTTCTTGTTGCTAAGTTGTCTTAGTTCTATATTTTGAAGACCTATCACAAAGTAATCACCACTGTGTACTGGACCATGCTTTATTTTGTCACACATGGTTCGCCATGTGTTAAGGCGACCCTGTACCCTCTACCCTTGTTGAGAAACAAAGCCACACAAATTTCCTTTTACGATCTCCACACTGGATAACTAATGTGATTTCTGTCATGACAGGTAAGTTTTAACAGTTTGAATTTTGTATGAACTTACTGGACCCTACAGAACCATCTGCATTCCTTCTATACATAATGCTTCTGATATTTAATCCCACTGTTGAGTCTATCTGTAGCTAGTTTTGTTTTTATTGTTTTTATTATTATATTGTATAGACTATCCCTGTGTTCTGTTCCTGAGCTTGTCTTTAAGATAAATTTGTACGTAAGTCAAAACAGCTAGGAATGGTCTATATCTATTATTGGTTAGTCAAACGTTTGTCTTACTACATTATATGCCTTTCGGTGTATAAAAAAAGTAACAAAGCACTTCTAGATATACAAAATATCTCTAACATACCCATACGATAATAACAATAACAATGTTTTCACATGTACTGCAATGTAGCATCAGTTCGTTATCATCAACCACTGAACACACCTCAAATTTTTAATGTACTGTATTTGTAATAATGTGGGGAGAGGAAGGACTTTATGGCCTGTAAGTCGGCTATATGAGATTGCCTGTGAATAATTATGGCAACCAGTTTGCCTGGGGATGGGCAGTTTGCTTGTCCTTTCCACCATTTTTAAGTGCACTGTTTAGTGGCATTAATTATATTCACCAGTGGCTGTGCAACCATCACCACTATCTCCTTTCAAAGTTTTTCATCCCCCGCCCACCGATCTTTATCTCTGAAGCATGACTCTCAACTCATCCTCTTTCCAGCCCATGCTAACATTCTATCTCCATCCACCTATTTTAGACAACATGTAATTTCAACATTTAAATCTGTGATGACTGACTAGTTATGAGCACTATGGACCTGGACCAGACCCTACTAACACTCTCAGAGAGGGCATCCACCAGAAGCCAGTAGTGATATGCCTCTTAGGAGGCTCGGTGGTTTAGCCATGGTCCCTAGGCTATGGAATGCAGTACGGCACTTTCTCAAAAAGTTGCAAATAGAGATACCATTTGACCCAGCAATTCCACTACTGGGAATATACCTCAAAGAAACCATAACCGCCACCCAAGCAGATATATGCACACCCATGTTTATCACGGCTTTGTTCACATTAGCAAGGAGCTGGAAACAACCTAAGTGCCCATCAACAAACAAATGGATAGAGAAGTTGTGGTACATTCACATAATGGAATACTATGCTGCATTGAAAAACAAGGAACTCATGCAATATTATTCAAAATGGGTGACCCTGGAGGACATTATGCTGAATGAAATATCTCAGTCACAAAAGGACAAATACTGCATAGTGCCATTGTTGTAAAATGGGACTGACATCGGGGTTGTGGGGAAACTGAGAAAGATTGGATAAATTATGTATACTGCATTGAAACTGATGAGAGAACTGTTTAAAAGGGATATGTGATTAGGTATTGTAATGTGATTAGGTATTGTAATGACAAGTCCAAAACGAAGGCTGCATAGTGGAGTGGACTTGGAGAGAGGGATTGTATAACAATGAAAGAATTTTTCTTTTACTTTTCAAAGAGAAGAACAAACTGGAGGGGAGGGGTGGGCAGGGAGAAAAGTGCAACAATGAATGAATGGGTGGAAAAAAGAAAAAGTGAAGAGGGAGAGGGGTTAAAAAGTATAACAATGAATTAATGATGATCTAATTTTTCTGTAAACTTCCACTAAAATCACAATTAAAATAAAAAATTTTATTAAAAAAATAAAAGATATTGTCAGTCACAGAGCAATCAGCCAGCAATTGGTGAAGCTTCACAGTGCGATTAGGGCAAGAGAAGAAAAACACCTCAGCCCAGGGTGACTGTGTGCCAAAGGCTGGACTCTGCAGGCAGTGTCTTCACGTGGTGGGGAAATGAACTGCACTAACATCTTCCAGCCAGGTATCTACACAAAAAGACAAGAGTATCTTGTATTTTAAAAAAGAAAAATAATCCCTTTGTGTTATCAGAATAAATTTTGTAGGGGAAATTTATTCCGTTTACATCCCCTTCCTCAGTGGTCAATGTCTGACTCTCTGAGCTTCTGCCCCCTCAGAACCCATTCATGTAATGGGGGACTGGATGTGCAGGGGACATCTGACCTGAGAGGGCCTCAGGTTATAGCTCAAGTAACAGGCCGTTTAAAAGCCTTGGCTGATTAGTTCGGAATCAAGAAAGAAGTGTAAGAGATGGAATCAAGCTAGAGGGTTGGTTATAAAGCAGGCTTTGGCCAACGGAGCAACCAAAAGTGAGGAACCCTGGTTGGAAGTAAGCATATGTATCCAGACAAAAAGCAGAGCCCCAGGGTCTAACACCTTTCTGGTTTAGATGCCAGGAGAGCTGCCGTTACCCTCTGATTTGCAAAAGTAATCTCCACCCAGCAGCACTGAGGAAGAAAGCCTGACAATCTACTTTCATAAAGATCACAGCTAAGGAAACCCTATGAACAACTGTACTCTGTACAGCTGGTGCTGCCATTGTTCTGGGGCTGACTAGACAGCTATGGCAGTTTGGTTTTATCCTCCATCTTCAACATGAACCTCAATCTCACCAGGAGCCAGCTGCAACAGTTTTCAGTTGCTTATCATCAAATGAACCTTACAATATATAGCTTCAAACCTTTTTCAGACATTTTTTTCTCAGCATCTCTAGGAATAATCTTTCTTAAGTTTCATCAAGTTCTAAGGCATCTTTTAGCTTCTTTCCTGAGATTAAATCTCTCAAAGCCTTTAATCTTACAAATTTGGATGCATTGTTTACCATCTGTTTGGCAAATTAAGAAAATTCTCCCCTGCGAAGTCTGGTGAGTCTAAAACCGAACACAAATATTTATTGAGTACTCACTGCAGGCCCAGAAGTTGGCCATGAGCCTGGGGTACAGACAAGGCAATCTTGTGTTCAAGCAAGCCCTTGGAGCCACCACACCCCTTACCCTATTGGCAGCCAGCTCCTCTAGGGACAGCTTTGTAGAAAAGGCTTGGGGACGGCTTGGGAAATACCTGGTAGAAGTCTGTTTTCTCAGCAATGATTTTCAATATCCCTGGAGCAATTGGAGGAACTGTAACCATCTGCAGCTTGCCAAAAAATGGGTTGTGTCCAGAGTTTTTATAGCGTTTCATCTTGTCTTGGATGACGAGTGCTAGGGACTGGGAATGGTTGATCACCTCCAGCAGTGTGGAGATGGCCACGTTCTGGAGGTAACAGTCGGTCACGCAGCAGCCAATGGTCATCAGGGATTTCAACCAAGATGGAAATGTGGAGTCACTTTCGCCTGGAAGGAAGCCGGCCAGAGAGATGAGACATGAGACAAAGAGCCACGAGATTATGGCTCCCCAGTTCTCAGACAGGAAAGTGCTTTCTTGTTGGAGCGGCACCACCTACAGCCTGTCATTAAGGCCAGAAAGGAAAATGAGGTTCAGGCTCGTTTTGTGTTTGTTGGACATTCAAAGTTGCAAATCTCAGTGTAAGAGCTTTTAGATGACTTATGTGTTTGGCTTGTTCATTTTAATATTTGACCTTTTTTTAAATTTTTTAAAAATTTTTATTATTTTTACCTGTACTGTCAAATCAGATCTGACTGGTACAGGAGGAGATTGCCCCCTCCTTCTCCAGCAGAGCATCTGGTGGATTTGAACCATGTACTTCTGGGATTGCAGTGAAGCATCTTGCCACTAGGCCACCAGAGCTCCCTTTTAATTGACTCTTTTCAGGACAGAGTTCACAGTATCTTTTAACATGTACCCCCTCTGCAGCAGAGGACATATCAGTAGCTTGCTTTTATTAACTGCCATCGAGCTGACCCTTGACTCAGTTCCCAAAGGAATGAAAGTCTGTCCAGTCCTGTGCATCAGCACGACTGGCTGTGGACTGGGCCACCATCATCTATAGGGAGTTCCTTGATGATCTGTGGAGGCAGATTGCCAGGCCTTTCTTTATAGCCCATCTTATTCTGGAAGCCCCACTGAAACCTGCTCACCCTCAGAGCAACATGCAGCCCTCCACTGACAGACAGATGGTGGCTGCACACACAATGGACTGACTGGGAACTGAACTGGGGACTCCTGTATGAAGTGGAGACTTCTACTGCTGAGCCATCACTGCCCTCTTGTTAGCTTTAATATAAAACTTCAAACTCCTGCAGTCAGGTTGGATCTGATGCATAGCTGACCCTCCGCTGGACTTTCAGGAGGTTAAAAGTCACGTGGAGTGCTTGCTTCGGCAGCACATATACTAAAATTGGAACGATACAGAGAAGATTAGCATGGCCCCTGCGCAAGGATGACATGCAAATTCGTGAAGCGTTCCATATTTTCGACCCTGAAATTAACCAGTCTGTAACGAAGGCTAACTCCTTTCACCTACCAATTTCGTCTTTGGATACAAAGCTAAGTGTATAGTCCTTACGGAGGGACTGTTTAAAAAGACGCAGGGAGAAGAAAAAAGAAAAAAAAAAGTCACGTGGAAGGAAACTGTCTATCTTTCCAGCAAAGCCACTGGTGGGTAAAAATCACAAGAGAGGGGCCACTTTTGGATTAGAGGTCACCAGAGCTCCCTGACTGGCTTTAACAGAAATGGAAAATATGCTGAATGGATCAATTCGAATTGTTCTTTCAAATACTGTCATTTGCAGCTAATGAAGAGTCCTTGTGGCAGAATGATCAAAGAGCACTCTGCTATTAACCAAGAGCCTGTCAGGTTGAAGCCACCAGCAACTTTGCGGGAGAAAGATGGGATAGTTGGCTTCCACAAATATTTCAATCTCGAAACTCTATGCAGCAGTTCCATTCTGTCTAATAGGGTTGTTCTGAGGCAAAACCAGCTCACACAATGGTGAGATCTTGCAGTTAATGAGAGCCACAAGGTAAGTTCTAGGTGCCATCTGTAGCAACAAAATCTTTATCTAAAGTTCTCGTCAATCTAATAAGTCTTTCCTGTTTTCTTCCCTCCCCTCTCTCCCTTTCGTTTTAAAAATTTTCTTTGCCTTACATAAATCTTTAGCAACACCTATCATGAAACAGACTGATTATAGTTAAGCATCCTCTGAGTTCTGGGAATTATAATGGGCTCTGCTTGTTGTCCTGGGTTTAATAGTACCAGCCCAGGTTGAACAACTTTCATTCCAGTCAGATGTGAATGATAAACATCCACAACTCATTCTAAAATTAAGGAAGGAAACAAATGCAGAAAAGGAATCCCTCTTAGGAAAGACGACTTTAGCTGGTCTATAAATACAATTCACGTAAATAATGCCAATCAGGCAGGCCTGGAGATTGATATACTTCTGAAAATCAGCCAGTGAAACCCTTACAGATCACAAATGGTCTGCTCCCCAGCAATGACAGGGATTCTGTGGAGCTGGGTGGTGCTTTTACTGGGCAGTCTCTATGAGACGGGCCCGGCTCTATGACCACTAGTTCATGAAGTGGTAATTAGACAAAAATGGGTCACCCTCTCACCAGGAGGCTGGAAGAGCGTTTGGCAGAGCTGCTCCATCTCCTCCTCGGACAGGTAGACGGGGAAGGTGGCACAGTCCAGCAGCAGGTGGCAGGCAGCAGCGAAGGCCTCCCTGCAGTCCTCTGGAGAGCCCCCCAAGTCAATCACCACTTGGGTAACGTCCCACTCCCCCTCCTTCTTCCTGCCAGGGCTGCTGGGCAATGATGATGGAGATGCTGGACTTTTTGTCTTAAATGGAGAACCTCGAACTGTGAAGAGATCTGAAAGCATCTGCTTGAACTGGGGCACAGTGATGGCCTTGGCTTCCCACGAGTTCTTCCTGCTCGTGTCCTCCACGATGGCCTCCTGGGCCCCACTCTTGTCCCTCTTGCCTACAGGCTCTTCTGACCTGCCTTCTTCACCCGATGCAGTTAGGGAGACCCCGAAGATGTTCTTGTTTGCAAAATTTGCGATGAGCTCTTGGATACAATGGAAGGTCTGCTGCATGCTCCCACCCTTCTTCCACACGTCGTCTCTTTCTGGGGACACCCTGGGGACCCTCAAGTGCTCGGAGAGCTCTGGTGAGGACGCGCTCAGCCCGATGCCGCTGTCTTCAGATTTCAGTGGAGGAAAGGGTGTGTCTTCATCACTCGGAATCACCACCTTCGTTTCTAAGATGATTTCCCCATTGTCGCCTTTCACTGGACTCTGCAAGAAAAGAAAATGTGTGTTGTGCATCTCCTGAGTTTAGGATTTAAATAAATATCAGTGCAACTAGGCAAACTGTGAATGTGAGTTCGCTATTTTCCAAAATCATAACACTCTACCAAGATCACCCCTGGGTAAAAATATATAATGAAAATATGAATACACACATGTTGACGGGACAGGAAGGTGTAGAAGAGCCCAAAGAAAGGTCACTGGACCAATCTGCTCTTTGGGGAAGTTAGCTTTTGAGGCCACTCCTATTACTCACACTTAGAACATACAGAGTTTTAAAAAACTGATTAATTTTTAAATAAAAACATGAATTAGAAAACTGGCTGAGGATATTAGAAAGGCATGAAGAAATAAGAGAAAAGGAGAAATCCAGAACAAAGTATCTATTCTATATATACTCTCATTGCTCAAATACACTCAAAGCTCATTGCCAAGGAGCTGAAACTGCCTGCCAGCTAACTCTCCAGGGTGGCTCTGAGGCTGTAACCTGCCTGGTGTTAAGTGCCACCAAGTCGATGGTGATTCATAGCACCCCATGTACAAGAGATTGAAATTCTGCCCCTGCGTGTCCTCACAAGCTCCGCCGTACTCAAGCTCACTGCTGCAGTCACTGGATCAGTCCATCCCCTTGAAGGGCTTCCTCTCCTTTGATGATGCTCTGTTTCTCCAAGCATGACATCCTCCACCAGAGACTGGCTGCTCCTGGTCATACCCAAAGCGCGCGCGACACGGAGCCTCACTGTCCTTGAACCTAAGGAGCTCTCTGGCTGCACTTCGTCTAAGACACTGTATATGCATATTTACATGTTGTTGTTTTTATGGACCATTTAGTCAGAGCTGTAGAACGGTAGGTTTTCAGTGGATGTAAATCGGAGTGGAGGTGATTGCTTATCTTTATCAAATCTGTGGATCTGAACCATATGCTGTTCAGTTTGCAGTACAAGGCATTACCTCTAAGCCACCGGTGCACCCTGTATACACATAAATGTGTGTGTGTGTGTGTGTGTGTGTGTGTGTGTGAGAGAGAGAGAGTGAGAGAGAGAGAGAGAATATGCATAATTTTAGTGGCTTCTTCAGAATAAAGACACTCTAGCTTCAAGAAACCGCTTTTATGTTTTTTATGCTCCTATTTAAGTAAGGGACTCTGTTGGCATAGTCCATATGAATCCGCTGCTAACCCAAAGGTTGGTGCCACTCTGGTGGTTCAAATCCATCAATAGCTCTCAGGAAGAAGGATGGGCTATCTCTTCTTATGATTTACAGCCTTCAAAAACTGCTGGAGGGTTAGTTATGGTTTGGTTCTAACTTGACAACAATGAGTTTTGAATCATTTAAATAGTATTACATTAAACTGGAAATTTTCCAGTGTGTGCGTGTGTGTGTGTTATCTGCCTTTGGGTCTACTACAACTCATAGCGACCCTATGAACAATGGCTCCAAACTTTTCCCTATCCTGAGTCAATCTCGTCATCGATACATTTGACCCCACTGTCACAGTCACTGTGTCACTCTGTCTCATCCAAGGTCTTCCTCTCCTGTGCTGATCCTCCAAGCATGCTATCTTTCTCTAAGTACTGGTCCCTTCTGGCAATATGCCCAAAGAATGTCAGACAAAGCTTCAAAATCTTTGCTTCCAAGGAGATACCTAATTTCATTCACTGCAGGACAGACCTGTTTGTTCTCTTGGTATTCCATGGTATGTTCAGTACTCTTCTCTAACACCACAACTCAAAGGTATTGATTTTTCTACCATCCTTATTTATTGTCCAGTCTTCAGATGAAGAGCAAGCAACTGAAAAGACTATGGCCTGGATCAGGCGCACCTTAGTCTCTAGACTGACATCATTGCTCTTTAGCATTCTGGAGAGGTTTTGACTAAAGAATATTTTCACTTTCCTCAACATCCCCCCACTTTACCTGTTTATCTCTCTCCCTTTGTCCTGAGCCCCTGACAACTTCTGATCCTATTCAATTACTTCTGCATAACCAAAATTACCATTATTATAAATATAAAAGGGTAACTAGTAAGATATGGATAAAGTCCAAAAAAGGATGAGGAGGAAGGCAGGGGTGCACAGAGTGGTGATAGGGAGATATCACTAGAGTAACAGAGTTTGGTGAATGGAGGGGGCTGGGGTGAAGAAATTAGGAAAGATTCAATGAGGACCTGAAAAATGGGTTCATAGTACCTATATATCAATGGTGATTAATTTTATAAAACATAATCAACATGAGTGATCATCTGAAATACAATGTAAATGTAGGAATGTATGAAATGCAATATACATGAATGATACACAATGTATACAGATTTTGTACATAAAGCAATATAACATAAAGACAAAGTGGAGAGAAAAAGAAATTATACATGTACTTATACACACAGAAAGGGGGCAAGAGGCCAAATACATCTAACCATTCACTGTCGTTATAACCTCTAGGGGGAAGTAACTTGGAGGGGGCTGGTGATGAGGATGGAGTTAGAAAGCTGTGAAACGAAGTTTAGACATCACCACACATCTTCTAATCTATTCCTGTTTGAACTGCTCTAACGACTTTCTACTCCTATATAAAGTAAATGCTTTCCTCGACCCCCAAGACCACCTCAGCTTCGTCGTGTGCGCACCGAGCTCTCACTGGCTGGCTCAGTATCCAGGTAGGAAGGTGGCATCTGGACTTTGCTAAGCACTTTGAAGCATGTCTTCAAGGCCTGTGTGAGCTCAGGTAAGCTCAGGGCCTCCATGTCCTCAGCCAGCGGCTGCACCATGCAGTTGAGCACCTGTGGGAGGTACTGGGTCTGCACCTCAGAGTAAAGCTCCTATGAAACAGAAACAAAACCAAAAGTGGTGTAAGTCAAAGCAAACTGTGTAAAGAACCAAAGAAAGTCAGAGAGTACAAGTTTCATGATAATTTCAAGAAAGGAAAATAACCTCCCAAAAACCCAATCATGTAATCAATGGACAGTCCTTTCCTCCTTTTAAGTATTTTATTCTGAAGACAGCGGTGACTATAGTCTATAGGAGGTTATACTGGTAACCCAAAGGTTGTACCTCTTTGGAGGCTCAAATTCACCATCCGCTCCAAGGAAGAAAGGAAGAAAGGCAGGATATCTCCTCCCATGTGATTTATAACCTCTGAAACTTGCTTGTTTAAAAAAGTTTATGTGGAAAGGATGGGGGAGCTCTGGTAGTGTAGTCCACTGCAGCGAACTGTGCTATGAACCCAAACGCTGTGTGAATCTGGTGGTTTGAATTTAAGAGTGGCTCCTTGGGAGGAAGATGGTAAATCTCCTGTTGGGAGTTACAGCCTCGGAAACTCGAGGGAGGGCCATCTGTGAGGTGGAATCCACTCAGTGCCAGTGAGAATTTGAGAAAATAGGAAAATTACCCCATGGCTTTCTATGCTAAGGAAAGGATCTTCCTTAGATAAAATGAGTTAACCACACAACTTAGCTAGGAAACACATTTACCAAGGTAAATAAAATCCCCTGGGTAAATGACGCAGGTTATCACCTAGTATAATAGCAGCTCAGCCCACTTAGAGCTAGCTGAATAGGTGTAGCCTCTTGTAAACAGTACATAAGAGATATGAAAGTAGATCATACACCCAGTTCATTTCTCCCCTGCTGATACAAATACTAAAACAGTGTTGTATAGATGGCACTTACGGTTTGTGCTGGGCTGTTTTCCTAAAGAGGGGTAGTCTGAACCCACACATTATGAAGAAAGGCCTGGTGAGCTGCTTCAATTAATTCTGAATATAGCCAAGAACACCCCCACACCCAGTTCTACTTAGTAACATACAGATTGTTTATGAATCAGTAGACTGCAAGGAAATGAACAACTTTCATTTAATTTGTTTATAAAAGAGGCCTACAACATTAATGAAGGCATAACCACAGCAAGCAGCAGGCCGACCCGTCACAGCACAGCTGCCTTACCAGGGGGATAACGTCCAGCAGGAACACGAGGAGGGTGCAGAGCTCTGAGACGCAGGGGGCGCTGCTGACGCTCTTCCCCATGACAGGGTCTCTCTGCTTCACCGGCCTACGTCAGTCACAGGGAGGAAAACAAATTTATTCCTTCTATTACAACAATTACCACCAAAGCTTCTAATTGGGATTTGTTAGATAACAAACATATTGTACCATATACTTCAAGCATAATAATACTGTAGTTTGAGTTAACAAAACTGCTATCTAAAACTACTTAACAGAGAGAAGTGTCAACAGTCTCTTGCAACTGGCTGGCACAAAGGGTCTCTTCTGACTTGCAGGGCATGAATCCAGATGAGAGTGGTTCCATTTATGTAGGATTTTGCATCAAGTGGACCTGGTCAGTTTTCCCAACCTCAACTAAAGGAATGTCCCAAGTGAACAAGCCTGGGCTGTGGAACACAGCAGCACAGCTGTGCAACTGGGGCCAGGAACAAGGCCAGGCAACTCCCCTCAGGGAGTGCTCAGGAACTCAGAACATCTGGGTTGCTAAAACTCTTCAGCTTCTGGAAAGATGCAACACTTCACAGATAACTCTACTATCTGCTGCATACCTCAAGGAAAATCAACACTATTACTGAAATAGGTAGGTCTGTTTTGCAGAGGGTAATACCAAGTTTTTTCTTGGAGGCAAGGATTTTGAAGCTCCATATCAAATACTTTGGGCACATGGTTATGAGGGACTGGTCCTTGGAGAAGGACATCATGCTCAGAAGGGTGGAGGGACAGCCCAAGAGAGGAAGAGCCCGGATGAGATGGATCGATACAGTAACTGGGACAATGGAGGTAAGTGTGCCAGTCAGTGAGACTGGCTCAGGATGAGGCAGGCTTCAGAGCTGTTGTCTCAGGAAACTTGAGACAACAACAGGCAATTGGATAAATTGTTCATTTCTGTTGAGTTGGAACTGGCTCGCTGACTCATAGCTAACTCAGCCAAGTCTTCAGAATCCATAAATCTCATGGGAGATGACTGCACATATTTCTCCCACAGAATGGCTGGTGGATTTGAACATCCTGCCTTTGTGATGGCAGTGCCGCCCCTTACTAGGCCACCAGAAGCTATAAAGTGTACACCGGTTTTAAAGCCAAATTAACCTTCGATTCATCTAGCTAACATGATATATCTCAACCTGGGTTAATTTTCTTCACTGTAAATGTAAAAGAAAAAAAACAAAACCAGACCATTTGCCACTGAGCCGATTCCAACTCATGGTGACCTCAAGCATTATTAGGTAGAGCTGTGTTCTACAGCATTTTAATGACTGATCTTTTTGGAAGCAAACTGCACAGTCTCTCTTCTGAATGGCTTCTACGTGATTCTAACCTCTAACTGAAAGGCTGGTCATGCTAAACCTATCTTGGAAGGCAGGCCGCTTCCAAAACGTACATCTGTGAGAAGTGTACACACACAGGGTCGTCATGAGTCAGAATGGACTTGTTGGCAGCTGGCTCTGTCTATGTTTTAAAATGTGAGAAAACAAATCTGTCTTTAAAACATCCACTTGTAGCTCTTGCTCCTGTGGTACTAGGAAACTAAGACACCATATTTAAACCCTCTCATCCACTCTAAAATATCCATAATACTGGACTGTACTTACCTAAAACAACCCTCGAAACACCTCATCATGTAATCCCAAAGGAAGTCTGTGCTGAGCGATGTGATCAGCAAGTTCACAGTCTTAACAATCTCAGAAGCATTTCTGTTCTCTTTAATTGAACTGTATAAGAAGGAGGCAGAAATAAGCAAATCCGTAAAAAAAAAAAAATCCTGAATTAAAGAAAATCAAGTCTGAAAAATGGCAACTCATTATAGTATTTACAGCTTATTTCTAGAGAGGATGGCAAATTTCGATAAAAACAAGAATATGACTGTTCTCATAGAGGAAAGAGTTTGTGTGACATCATCCTAAAAAGATATTCTAATGCAAACTCTTCAACAAGAACAATAGACACACTTTGAAATAAATTTAAAAGATATTACAATATTACAGAGAGCACTTTGGCACTTGGTTTAGGAAAGCAGTTTGGAGCTTCTGAAAAAGTTGGGAAAAATATCATTTGATCCAGCAATCCCACTACTAAGTGTATACCATAAAGAAGAATTTTGACATAGATATACATACACCTACGCCCATTCATGATAGCAAAGAAATGGTAACAACCTAGCTGTTCAGCAACAGCCAAATGGATTATAAAAATGACGGTATGTTCAAATGGAGTACTGTACAACACTAAAAAACAGTAAAGAACTCTGGAAATCCTATCTAACATGGCTGAATCTAGAGGAAATGATGCTGAGAGTTTGCCACAAAAGGGCAAATAATGTATACGACTACTATTATAAAAAAAAAGTCTAAAGAAATGTTTACATATAGATTCTCATTCTTGGTTGGTTGCCAGGGGTGGGAAGAGAAGGGAATGGAGAAAAAAAAATGAATAAACAGATCACAAACTCATTGCCATTTTGTGGAAACTGACTCAGAGCTGACCTTTCATTGAGTTTCTGAGGCTGGAGATTGCCCATCTGTCTCCTGTGGAGCTGCTGGTAGATTGTACTGACAGAAAGACATGGCTTTTGGGTTAATAGACACATAATTAAGATGGATGAAGGAGAAACAATATACATTAAGGGGATAAGCAGCATAGTATCAGTAAAGAAAGGGGAGACACAGAAAGGTATAGTAGAATTTCTAGGGAGAAAATGAGCAAAGTATGATTACATTGTTGGTATTGTGATTAACAGTTAATAAAAACGTATATGAATGGATGGATAAAAAAATCGCTTTGTAAATCTTTACTCAAATCACAATTTTGAAAACAGCAGTTGATTTAGAAAACCAGTTTTATCCCAATAGTAAATAAGAGACTCTCTGTGAAACACTTAGTGGCACAAAGCATTTGGATGTCCGCTAACAGGTGGCTATCTGAACCCGCCAGCCATTCCTCAAGGGCACACACCTGGAGATCTGTTCCCGTAAGGATCACAGCCGAGAAAATCCTATAGGGCAACTCTACTCTGCCCTATAGACTTACTATGAGTCAGAATTGAGGATAGCATACAACTGGTGAAACGGCATAAGTTCAGCAGGCTGTATTATCTTAAAAATCGTATCAAAAGACACAATTTATAGAGACCTACACACTGCAAGCCCAAGTGCCACTATCTCCTCACTACCGTACATACCTCCCTGCCCACTGCCAACTCTCAGCCTAAGGTCCTAGAGATACTTTGATCCTGGAGACCCACCCCTGCCTTCACTTACTGAACCAATCTCTTCCTATCTTCCCCTCTTTACTTGTCCCTGTAACCAAATCCTGTACTTGGGTAGACTTGAAAAATATTCCTAGTTGAATAGTTACTTTGAACATATTCACAGGTGAACAGTAAGTATATCTGTTCATCTCTGACTGGGGCAGAAACTATGTCAAACTTCTTTTAAACCCTTCACAGTATTCAACAGGGAAGATTAAATTAATGTTAACTTAAAAAAAAATCATGTTGATTAAAGAGGAAGGCAAAGAAAAGAACCCATTGTGGAAGAACTGTCCATAGGGTTCTGGGGGCTATCACTTCCATCCTCCAAAGGAGCAGCTGGTGAATTCAAAATGCCATCCTTTTGGTTAGAAGCCCAGCATATAGTGTGTTATGTCAGCAGGGCTCCTTATTAACTCAATGTTGTTGTTATTATGTACCATTGAGTCAGAACCAACCCATAGCCGGCCCTCCAGTGGGTTTTCAGAGGCAGTAAATTGCATGGGACATCATCTCACAGAGCAGCTGGTGCACTTAAACCAGATGCCTTTGGGGGTGCAGCACAGCTTCACACCACGAGGCTAACAGAGCTACCTTATTAAGTTACTGTTGTTATATACCATTGAGCGGGAACCGAACCATAGCTGATCCTCCGGCAGATTTTCCGATGCAGTTAAGTGCATGGAAAGAGACTGACTACGCATCCGTCTCCCGCAGCTGGGGCATTCAATTTGTGTGCCTTCGGGATTGCAGCACAACTTTTTACCACTAGGCCGTTAACTTCTTTTTGTTGTTGTTATGTGCTATTGAGTCAACTACGTCTCATAGTGACTCCTTGCACAGTAGCTCTGAATCCTGTTTTATCCTGTCTCCGACATACCCACCTCCATTACCCCAGTTACTGTGTCCATCCCATCTGGGGTCTTTCTCTCCTGCACTGTTCCCTCCACCCTTCTAAGTATGATGTCCTTCTCAAAGGACTGGTTCCGTCCTAGAAAGTTGCCCAAAGCCTGTAAGAAAGAGCTTCAAAATCCTTGCTTCCAAGGAGCAGCTTGGCTTCACCCTCTTCAAGACATATATTTAAGTTCTTTTAGTGGTCCATGGCATGTTCAATACTCTTCTCCAGTACTACAATTCGAAGGCATCAATTATTCTTCTGTTATCTTTGGTCATTGTCCAGGTTGCTGATGTAATTGTGCAAGTAACTGTGAAGACCATGGCCTGGATCAAGCAAACCTTAGTCTCTAGTTGGACATAATCACTCTTCAGCACCCTGAAGAGGTCCCTGAAAGCAGATTTTCCTAATGCAATAGTCTCTTGATTTTCTGACTGTTGGTGCCAAGAGTGTTGACTGTCGAACCAAGCAAGCTGAAATTGTTAACAATCTTAATCTTTTCTCCATCTATCATGGTGCTGCCAACTGGCCCAGTGGCGAGAATCTTCATTTTCTTGATGTTGAGCAGCTTCAATCCATATTGCAGACGACAGTCCTTGACCCTCTGCAGCAAATGCTTCAGACTCTTCTCAGTTTCAGCAAGCAAGGCTGTGCCATCTGCCTTACATAGATTGATGAGTCTACTTCCAATCCTGATGCCACATTTCTCCTCATAAAGATCAGCTTCTCAAAATCATCTGTTCTACGTATAGATTGAAAGGTATAGAGACAGAACACATCTCTGACACACTTCTTTTTGATTCTGAACCATACAATTCTTCCTTCTTCTGTTCTGATGACTGCCTGCTGGCCCAAGTATAGGTTTTGCATGAGCACAATCAGGTGTTCTGTGATTTCCATTCTTCTCAAGGTTAGCCACAATTTGTAGTGATCTGCATAGTCAATGAAACACAGGTAGACATTCCTGTAGTACTGTCTGCTTTGGCTGAGATCCATTTGACATTAGCAATGATGTCAATAGTGCCATGGCCTTTTCTAAATCTGGCTTGTATTTCTGGTAGTTCTCTGTTATATTCTGTTCCAGTTGCTTTTGGATGATCTTCAGTGGGATTTTTTTACTTGCATGTGAAACTAGTGATATCGTGCTAACTACTGCACCACCAGAGTTCCTCTCACCTCTCACAGACACTCAAGATAGCACATGCTAATAAGTTAGTATTGTTACTTATGGTATTATTAGCATGCATTATTTATATGAGTGTCCATGAGATATGACAGGAGCACAGAGGGCAGAGTAGTTAAGAAAGGGGGCTGCTAACTAAAAGTTCACCAGAATGGAGCCCACTAGGCTTTTGTCAGGAAACCCTATTGGGCAGTTCTACTCTGTAGCTCTGTCGTATAATGTCATCTTGAGTTGAAGTCTTCTCAGTTTCAGCGGGTGAGTTAGAAGTGTGGAAGCCCCTTGCAGCGAAGACTGTGGTCTTCGCTGAGAGCACGACACGACTGGAAGCCAGAGAGCTGGGCTGAGCAGCCTGAAAGTGTGTGCGTGGAGCTGATACTGACCACACCTTGGAGCTATGACGTCATCTGTCTACAGGCATCAGGGAGCCCTAGTAGCACAGTAGAGAGCTGTGCTGCTAACACAAAGGACTCGCTTCTCTGGTGGTTCCAATACACCAGTGGCTCTGCAGGAGAAAGATGGCAATCTCCTTTTTTGCAATTTACAGTCTGAGAAACCTGCTGGAGGGGTCAGCTGTGAGCCAGTCCTGACTTGATGGCAATGAGTGAACAAGTGAGAGATCATGGCCATCTGGGGATAAAATAAAGGTCAGTCATCAATGGGGACAGGGAGGCTCTGAGCTGAGACCCCTCTCAGCCTCTGTCCAGTGTGCCTGTACTGTTTTTACCACCCCCTAGATTAAAGACAGTCCTTTGAGAGTCGGGCTGAGGGACAGAATTTCCAGTATTAATAGAACCAAGACTTTCAGGAGCCATTGAGGCTACAGAACATCTCCCCATACCAAACTACTATCCTGAAAGAATCTTTAAATCTTGACTGAAAAGTATTCCCTGAAGCCATCTTTGAGTAAAAGTGTCTGGCCTAATTAAAAAGGAATGTTTATATTAAGCATTCTACTCTTTTAAAGAATTATCTGTGCAATCAAACTGACAAGAGGAATTGTGAAGGACAAGCGGGAAGCTAAGTGGGGCAGTGGATTTGTGTTAATGATGGAGAAACAGTTTGGAAAGACTGTCAGAAAATGTGGCACAATGTGAAGAACATAACCCATGTCATGGAATTGTATGTGTAGAAAAATGTCTTGTTTTGTTCATTATTTTCATAGAAAAAACTTTAAAGTTGCACTGCAATCCCAGAAGTATGCAGTTCGAATCCACCAGATGCTCTGCTGGAGAAGGAGGGGCAATCTCCTCCTCTACCAGTCAGATCTGATTTGATGGTACACACACAATAATAAAATAAAATAAAAAATTAAAAACTTTAAAAGTTGGTTTAGGAGCAAAGATGATCATAACATCGTCAATCTCATTAATTCAAATGAACAGTACAGTTAAAAATGATGGCTAAAATGTCAACTTCTGATACACATGTACTTGTTAACAAAAATTTTATTATTGTATCATCAAATCTGATTCAACTGGTACAGGAAGAGATTGCTGCTTCTTCTCCAGCAGAGAATCTGGTGGATTCGAACCACATGCCTCTGGGATTACAGTGCGGCTTCTTGCCACTAGGCCCCCAAAACTCCCTGATATACATGTATTTTTTACCACAGATACATACACCGATTCCTTTCTTGGCACTGAGCCAATTCAGGGCATTACGGGACAAAGAACAGTGCCCACTGACCTGCCCCTGAGAGAGGAGAGAAAGGGGTGCACGGAGCAGCTGGGTGGGACTGACCAGAGAAGGGATGCTGAGGTTTATGGCTGGCCTTCCTGCCTGTTTGCACAGCTGGTGCCATGAGCAGAATTAGCCAAAGAAAAGCCTAACAGCCGAGAAAAGCTTCTGACCTCTGCATCATCACTTTCCCAAACACCTCTCAGTTGCTAATAAATCATGAAGAGACTAAGTACAGCACTAGAGAAGAAGGAAGAAGGCCTTCAGTGGGCGGTGGAGGCCAAACTCCTACCTGATCAGGGAGTTTCCACTCTGTGTATAGCTCAGCTGAAGATCAGAGCCAAGAGCATCTCTGCAGTAAGAGTAAAAGGCCCTGATCACTTCCAGAAATAAGCTCCCAACCACATGAGGGCCTGCAAGGGAAAAAGAAATGGTCAGGGCAAGACTGACACATACATTAAATCATATATTCTCTATGTAGACTATCTCTCTATATGAACAATTTACATGGGTTAAATTGTACAGACTGATTCAGGCACTGGGCTTCGTAATTACACATTAAAAAGATGGACAATGACTAAGGTTGACAGAAGAATTGATGCCTTTGAGTTGTGGTGCTGGAGAAGAGTATTGAACATACCACAGACCACCAAGAGAACAAATAGGTTTATCCTGGAGAAAGTGAAGCCAAATTTTTCCTTGGAGGCAAGGATTTTGAAGGTCTACCTCACATACTTTGGGCATGTTGCCAGGAGAGATTAGTCCTTGGTGAGAACATTCTTGGAAGGGTGGAGGGACAGCATAGGAGAGGATTACCCTAGATGAGATGGATTGACTCAGTGACTAGGGAAATGGGATAGGAGTGTGTGTCAGAGACAGTGAGGCTAGTTCAGGATAGGATAGGTCCAGAGCTATGGTACACAGGATTGCTGTGAGTCATAGTTGACTTGACAGCACATAACAACAACAAAATGTGCAGAAAGCTAAGAACTTTAGTTGTGGTAATGATAATGTTAGCTGGGGAAATAATGTTCATTAAAACAGTCAACATTTTTGTAGACTGCCCTGTTAGAGACTGAATAGCATCCCCTTAAACATGATAGTGCTCTAGTCAAAATCAAGACAGGAGTCCGTCAG